ATTCTCCAACTTTATCTCTCTAAACAAAGGATAGGAACTAAAACCCAGTGATATGCATTCTTAAAAGCACCGTGTCTCCAACTTCTTCACTCCCGAGTTTCTCCTTACCATCCCAGAAACTTGTGGTCTGTGATTTCAACTATACTTTTTATCAAGACTGAATCAAACGATCTATTGGCTTGTAATTTTTCTGTTTGTAGCACTTATTATGGCTGGGCACAATGCCAAGGCTTTTACTTTTATTATTACATTTACTTGTCAGAGCAATTCACTGAAGCGAGTAGTATCCTCATTTTGTGGATGAGGAAACTGAGGTTTATGGACTTCACGTTAACTTACCCACGGTCACCTGGCTAGGATTTGAAGCCTAGTGTGTTCACTATGAAGCCCACACCCTTAAACACTAGTAAGCAGGGCAGTTGCTGCGTCTCCATGTATAGAGAACTGACATGGGGTTCATGACATATATGCGATTCATGTACCATCTTTCATCTCCCAGCAGGTGGTAGTTGATTTGATTTGAGAATAGAGCAGTTCGTTGAAACAAGTCACTAGAGGTCCAGAGACTGGTGAAGTGGCTAAGAGCACAGGATCTGGAGTCTGATTGCCTGAGTAGAATCCTAGCTGTATCCCCTACATCTTGTGTGGCCTTAGTCATGTGACTTAACTTTTCTGTGCCTCAGTTTCCTTGGCTTTGAATGGAAATAATAATAGTACCTACTTCATTGGGTTGTTGTGAGGATTTAATAAGATGGTAACCTGCAAAGCACTTGATAGATTCTAAATAAATAGTAGCTAGCTATTATTTGTGCCTCAGTTGGCAGCCCTATGAAGTTAAAAAGCAGTGTTACTGGGTCTTGACTGCCAGTTCCAGAGAGCTATTAAGCTCTTTAGATGTACTTATGCTATTTGATCTTCACATCAGCCTTGTGAAGTTGTCGGGGTTAAGAACCACCCAGCCTGGCACTATTCTTGGGATCACAAGGGAAGCAACAGCCCTTACAGCTGTGCATTTGTCAGCAGGCCTTGGCACCCACGCTCCAGGTAGACAAAAAGATGGGCTTCTGTCAGCGTCTCTTCAAAGGCTCACCTTAGGGGTGCAGTCTTGTGGCCTCCGAGACTGAATTCATAGTGGTACCTTTATTTTGAAAGGCCCAAGTAACCTTTGCTTTGTCCAAGTAACCTTCTCCCATACTCAATACCAAAATCAGCTCAGATTTTTTTTTAATCTTGGCAACACTTAATGCCACTTCTTTGTTCATAGCATTTCATTTAGTTGTTTAAAAGTCTCCTGCAGTATGTTATGTATATGTTACCGCAATTAAAAAAAAAAATCTCCTGAAAGTGTAGACTTTCACACTCTAGCATTTGTGAGACTCAAAGTAAACGTGTTCACCTAAGGTAAAATAATGAGTTGTTACTACACTACATATATTTTTTTAATTGAAATTTTTCCCCACAAAAGAAATAATACTACAAACATAGTTCATGTGTTAGCAAGATTCTGTTAGGCTTCAGATGTCCCTCAATAAAAGTTTTGTTTTTATACTTTGTTATAAATTAAATGAAGTAAATAATATGCTGTTATAAACAAGTTGACTGAAGATAAGCATCTTATGGATATCGATATATCATTGTTTATTAAATCCTGGAGTATAGAGCAATTTCCAATGTGAAATCTCAGCTGGCTTTGCAGAAATTGACATATTGACCCTAAAATTCATATGGAAATTCAAAGGACTCAATAGCCAAAACATTTTTGGAGAATTCACATGTTCCAATTTCAATACTCACTACAAAGCTCCAGTAATCAAAACTGTGTGGTACTGGCATAAAAGACATATAAATCAATGGAATAGAACTAAGAATCCAGAAATAAATTCTCACCTTTATGGTCAATTGATTTCTCAAAAAGGATGCCAAGACCATTCAGTGGGGGAAAAATGGTCTCTTCAACAAATGGCGCTGGGACAACTGGATGTCCACGTGCAAAGAATGAAGTTGGACCCCTACCTCATACCATATACAAAAAGTAACCCAAAATAGATCAAAGATCTAAATGTAAGAGGTAAAACTATAAAACTCTTGAAAGAAAACAGAGGAGTAAATCTTCATGATCTGGATTTGGCAGTGGTTTCTCAGGTATGACACCAAAAACACAAGCAACAAAAAGAAAAGAATAAATTGAACTTAATCAAAATTTTAAAATATGTTTCTAAGGATTCCATCAAGAGAGTAAGAAGAGAACCTACAGAATAGGAGAAAATATTTGCAAGTTGTGTATCTGGTAAGGGGATTGTATCTAGAATATATAAAGAACTCTTACAATTCAATAATAAAAAGACCGCCTGATTTTAAAATGGGTAAAGGATCTGAATAGACATTTCTCCAAAGAGTTGTGCGAAAGGGCAGTGAACACGTAAAAAGATACTTAGCCTCATTAGTCATAGGGAAATGCAGATCAAAACCAGTGTGATACTACTTCATACACACCAGGATGGCTCTAATCAGAAAGATAATAACAAATGTGGAGAACCTGGAACTCTCATATATTGCTGGTGGGAACGCATAACAGTGTGGCCACTTTGGAAAATTGACAGTTCCTCAAAAGGTTAAACATAGAGTTGCCATGTAACCCAACAGTTACACTCCAAGGTATATACCCAAGATAAATAAAAACACCTCCAAACAAAAACTTGTACACAGTTGTTTATAGCAGCATTATTCATAATAGCCAAAAACATGGAAACAACCCAGATGTCCATCAACAGATGAATGGATAAATACAATGTGATCTATGCGTATAAATGGAATGATATTCAGCTGTAAAAAGGAATTAAGTACATGCTACAACATGAATGAACCTTGGAAAAACACTATGCTAAGCAAAAGAAGCCAGACAGAAAAGACCACAATTGTATGATTCCATTTATATGAAATGTCAAGAATAGGCAAATCTACAGAAACAAAAAGTGGATCAGTGGTTGCCTAGGGCTAGGCGGGTGAGTTGGTTGGGGGGCGGCGATGGCTAATGGGTGCAGGGTTTCTTTGTAGGGTGATAAATTTTTCTAAAATTGTGATAATGGTCACTCTTGAGTATACTAAAAGTCATTCATTGTACACTTGAAATGGGTGAAATTTGTATGGTATATGACTATCTCATTAAACCTTTACAAAACAAAAATTTCCAACATGAACAATTACTTGGAGAACCTTTATCACTGCCTCACACTGTTTCATTCTTTTCTTCTTTCCCCTTAACTGTACTCCCCTCCTGTGTCTGGTGTGCCTGTTGTAGAGGACCTGAGCTCTTATGCTACCTCCATTTTCTCTGACAATCCATGTCATGATAAAAGTTCATTCAGCTTTCCAGTGAGGGGCTCCGATCCGGCGTCTGCTCTAAATGGATTTATTCAAGTTTTCCTAAGGCCAGAGAAGGATTTTTATTTTTTTCCCTCCACCTTGAATTTGATATGTTCGTATTTGAGAGAATACTGAGCAAGGAAAGCTTTTTTCCAGCTTCAAGTATACAGCATGGGGATTAGAAAGATGGTGGGTTGAATATAAAGCTGTTCTAAGCCCAAAACACCAGGGAGGAGATTTGGGGCTTGTAGGAGGCTTCCTGCTCACAGAGAAGGTGAATGTGATGTCCAGTATTGCGTGAGTGTGAGTCCATTCAGTTGGCTTGGCATTTGAAATAGAAAGTAACTTAGGAAAATGAGCCGCTAGTAGAGGTTCAGTGGTGTCAAGGCCAGGACAGTCTTGGATTCCTCAGTCTTGACAGAGGGCCCTCATCCTCTGCTTTCACCCCCCTCAGGTCCTACTTTCATATACGTCTCCTTTCCACCCCCTGTGTTTTCAGCCTCTCCCAGGGAAGGGCATGAAAACTCAGGCCGAGCTATAAACGACAGAGGAGACTTAGGCTGTTGTCCCTGAAAGGTCCCTGCTTAATGCATTCCCCAGGCCCATTCCTGGCCCGGTCCTTCCCAAGGCCGTTTCAGCCTCAGGAGCAGGCATGCTTGTGTGTTGCAAGGCAAGGGGGAGAGGTTAAACAGTTGGGTCACAAGAGACGTAGCCACATTGCCCTTCTTAGGACATAGGGTCTGACCACTTCCTGCAAAGCATGCAGTTAGCTAATGGGCCTCCCCTGTGTAGCCAGTGATAGCTCCTGGGCCTACTGTTTTTAAAATGTTAAGCTTGTTGAAAAATGGTAGCCCTAGATAAAGGGAAATTCTGGTGTGCTCTGGTCATTTGGATTTCCTAAAGATAGAGAAACTTTGCTACTTAGATGTGCAGCCTGTCCCATGTGTTCACCCAAGTAGCGGCCACAGATGAAAAATTTGCTAGAATGGAACTGTATGTAATGAGAGCTCTGGAACCACCCCCCACTCCCACCCCAATCCTTGTGTGCTGGGGGTGAAAGCTCAGAGCAGAGGAGGCCCTTTTACCTGGGGTGATTGGTTGTGTCCACCTCCCAAGAGACCAGGGCATAGGCTCCCAACAGTTGTACTCGTCTCGGCCAACCAGTCACCCAAAACCTTGCCCTCTGCACGCCCGGTACTCTGAAGTCCTAAAAGGCCATGATCCACTGAAAACTTGAAGGAGAAACTGCAAGCTTGCTCTCCATTTGCATTCAAATCAAAGTTTTATGAAACTATGTTCCTGTTTTCAGTGTGGTAAAGCAAAAGAGTTTTTAAATTATCAGGGCTCCTTTGTGTTCCCTGGGACCACATCTTTCACACTGTCAGACCAAAAACAAAACAAAAACAAAAACCAAGAGCAGCAAATTACCCCTGCTACTTAGGCTTTTGTATGAAAACTGGTTTTAGGGACATTTTCTTTGTTCTTATTTTCTTTGGCCTGCAGTGGGGAATAAGTTCATTTTTCTTTTTCTTTGAAATTGAAAACTATATTTTTTAGAAAAAGAAATTCTTTCTGCCCAGCTCTGCACTGAAAACAGCTTGTAAAATACAGCTGTGTTTGTCACCCTGTTTGAGTCAGGGTTCCCCTACAGGCTGCTCTGAGCCCTCCACCCCCCCACCCCCACCCCCCACGGCAGGTGCTGAGCTGAGGGAGGCCTCAGGCACACTTGCTGACGCACTCCAGCAGCTCCATCCGGATGGCAATGCGGACGTGCCAGCCCAGCGGGATCAGCCGGATGAAGCGGGAAATGATGGGGGGCCGCAGGAGGTTCTGGACTGTGGAAGTTCGGTCTGAGTTTCCATAGAAGACCTAAAGAGAGAGGAAATCTTATCGCGATCACATCAGAGGACGGTAAAGGAAGAACAACTCTTATCCGAAGCTGGCCTAAACTTTTAAGTTTGAGAAATCTCAGCAACTGGTTAAGGCTCAGAGAATTGCACGTGCCCCCCCCCCCCCGCCCCGCAAATCTGAACTTGCATGTTAGTCAGCACCTGTGTGCTCTAGGCATCTCCGAGTCACTCTGTGGGGACATCTAGAACTGCACCATCCAGTATGGAAGCATTAGCCACATGTGGCTCTTTAAATTTAAGCGAATTAAAATTAGGTAACAGTTTCCTTAGTCACACTAGTTGTGGTTCAAGTGCCCCATAGCTATGTGTAATTAGTGGCTTCCATATTGGACAGTGCAGATATTAACATTTCCATCATCACAGAATGTTCTATTGGATGGCACTGATAGAAAATGCCTCTTGATCCTTATCACCAATTTTGTGTTTTAATCCTTTGCCTTTTGACAAATTTTGAAAAGGACCACATCACACTTACAAAGAGGAATGTCCCTCTATTCCAAAGGTATCCAAAGTGGGGCTTGAGTAAAGCTCGAGTATGCTGGCCCTGAAGTTGTGAGCCAAAGCTTAAGTGTGTATCTCTACATTGATACAAATGGCAAATAGACTTGGAAAACTGCTTTTAGAAAAGAAAGAGACATAAAAACAAGATTCTGACGGGGGGAATGCAGTACCCAAAGTAGAGAGAAAAAGGGCTTGCTTCGTGTTTTGGGGGGATGCAACATAGCATGATGCCGTGGCTGTTTGGCTACATTTCCAAAGAAATCATTCTTTGCAGTCTTTCTAGAGTCGCAAGGACACTGGAACATTTCATTTCTTTCTGGGACTATCTCCTAAAAAAAATCTGGCTGCTACATTGGCCTCATCCATCTACAAAACAAGAAGGACCTCAGATGCCATGACCTTGCCCCTTTTCCCAGTAGCAACAGCCCACATCCCCTTCTCTCAGCTTTTTGCCCTTGAGCCTATTCAAGTCGGGACAGCTGCAGAGGGAGGATGGGACAGGCCCCTCCAGATTGCACAAGGGCCTGAGTAGAGTGCCTTTTTGCAAAAAACTGTCAAGGCCTTCGGAAATGCAGACAGGACTAGAAAAAGAATTCTCATTTCTTTTTGAAAAGCCAACTAACAAGAGCAAAAATGAAATAAAATGTGTAAGTATCAAGATGGTTTTTCTTACTGTACTCAATCAAACTCCTTGAAATCTCAACCCATGAATGTCTTGCTGTACAACTTGTCATCAGAGAGTACAAAGCCTTCTGATTTCCAGCCACACGTGTCTACTTAATCTGATTAAATGTCCAAATTAGCCTCAGAAGTCCTTACTCTCAGGCAAAAGGACAGTTAACATTTCCAAACAGCTAGTGAATTTTTAATTCATTGCAAATATACATTATATATATATATATAATAATGATTATATATATATATATATATATATATATACTTAATTACGAGCCTACTGTGTTCGGTCTATGGTGAATAAGACTTGGGGCTGGGCCTTTAGAGGTTAGTAGGATATATAGTTGTGCAAAGGCTTAAGTTCCTCTGTGTTTGCACTGCTGGAGTCATTTTAATCATTTACATAGCTCAGTGGCTAACTTGCTGGATTGTCCAAATCTTCCTAGAAGTGAGTCTCAGTAGTAAGGAGAGGCCATATCTACATAAATGGACAAGGGCCTAGCCACATCAATAATAGGTCAAGTCAGACCCATGTAGCAAAGTGTTCAATGGCCCAGTGAGTTTGGAACAGTCCAAATGGCCAGTTTTGATTATTCAAGCAACTATAAACTGATCAGTGAATTCAGACAAGGATTTCTTCTGTACACAACAGTGGTGCTCATTCACAAACAAACTGCTAGGCACCCAAGATTCAGCAAGAAAAGACACCTGCCTTGTCGTCTGAGAGTAGACCATGTTGTGGGGAAGATCACAGATGACTTCCCTTGCCATGGAGTCAGTGGTCTGACAGGGTGGAAGCAGGAAGGAAGCCCCAGAGAGTGTGAGCTGAAGGTAGTTTGGGGTAAGCCAGACTTACCCGGTTGTTTCCTGTCTGGTCCTTATAGTAAATCCAGTTCAGGTTCTCATCCGTCCTGTACTGCACGCTGTACTTGGTCATCCACTCATCGATGTCACAGCGCCCCTGGGTGAGGATCCCTGAAATCACCTTGACCTCCTTCAGATCTATCTGTAGCCACTGGCTGCTGTCCTGGTACTTGGAGAGCCAGGCACACCTGCCAGGGACACAGCAAATCACCAGGAGCCTTTCCCCATGAGCACCTCCAAAGAGCTGAGCGGCACTGCCCTTTGAGGGGTTACCAGCACCTGAAGAACCTCTGCAATGCTTGGACAGTCTGAGCTGCGATCTGGTAAGGCACCAAAAGACCTGTCTTCAAGAAGTATCCAGCCTCTGTTACACTTGTATCATTGTCTTTCTCCCTGCATCTCCACTGAGCAAAGAACAATGGCCAGATTCAACTGATTGGTCAAAGAAGTGCCTCTGCGTGTGGCTGAAATCACCTTTGAGGTGTGGTTGAACAGGTCTTTCTTCAAAACACGAAAATGCATGGTTATTACACCCGCCAGCCCCCTTCCGTTTTCATTAGTCTCTCCTGGTGTCTCTTTCTCCATGAGTCTTACCCTAATTTCACTCCCTTTATACATATCTGCATCTCCTTCAGGTGCTGTCATTCATAGCTTTCAGAGAGTATCTCCCATGTGCAGAACACTGAGCCAAGAGGCTCTGGAAGAGCTTTTGACAATTGTAAAGCAAACTAACCATTGAAGGAACTGGTTTGTTTTTTAGCTATATCCCTCCTGAATTGTGGAAACCTATAATTTCCCCTTTGAGGTTTTTATTTATTTTTTGCATATTAATTAGCTTCTTGGGACTCAGTCCTTGGCTGCCTTCTCTTCTAACTCCAGACTTGCTCCTTGGGTGACTCTTGAATTTTTAACTTCCATCCCAGACCTTTTCTCAACTCCAAAATCTGAGAATCAGTTGCTGTCTATACAACTTCTAGATGCCTTACAGCATCCCAAATGAAACCTGTCCAAGAATGAACTCCTAATTATCTCCACCCCAACTGCTCCTTCCAGTATCCATCTCTTGGAATGCTACCTCCATCCTCCTGGGTGTTCATGCCAGTGATCTGAGAGAGATCCTTGGCCCCTTCCTCTCTGTCACCTCAAACATCCAATCCATCTATTGAGTCCATCTCAAATTTTTTCAAATTCATTTACTTTTCTCCATTTCACTGGCACTGCTCTAGCCCATATCATCCTCAGTTCTTGCCTGGATGATTGCTACTTTACCTCTCTTCACTGGTCTCCCTGGGTTGCCTCCCCTGCCCCCCCCCCCACTAAACAGTTCTCCCCCACAGGAGCCAGATTTTTCTTAAAACACAAGTCGGACTGTAATACTCCCCAACTTCAAATCTTTCTCTGGTAGAGTCTGCTAATTGTCTCCCAATATCCTCTTCCCATTTTCCTTTAGTCATAGAACACCAAGTTTTATCTGGGCAAATGGTCACCCAGCAGAGTTCATATTTCCCAGTCTCCTTTGCAGCTAGGTGGGACATTCTGACCAAATTCTGATTAATGGGATGTGGGCAAAGTAGCCAATATGATTATGCTTGTATCCTTAAAAGTGTGTGCACCCTGCTCTTCTTTTCTCCCCACTGACTAGAATGTAGATGTGATAGTGGAAGCGAGGGCAGCCATTTTGTGCCCCAAGATGGAAGCTTCATGTGAAGAATGACAGAACAAGGTAGAAAGAGTCTGGAACCCTGATACCATTAGCCATCATACCAACCCGACACTGCCTAATGAAACTTTTAGATGACCAAGAAATAAACCTCTATGTTGTTTAAGTCCCCATACTTTGGGGCTCTTTGTTACAGCAGCACAAACTTGTATTCTAACTAATGCACATTCAAGGAACTCATTATGCCCAAAATAAGGACCATAATCCTTAACATGACTTCATGATCTGACTTCTGCCTGCCTCTCTAGCCTTATCTCCCTTGTGTCCTAACTTTGCTGACCTTCTTTACCATCCCATGCGTGCCCTTCAGGGAGCCTCCCAACTAAGGGCCTTTGCACCTGCTGTATTCTGTGCCTCCCCGACCCCCTCACCTGGACAACTGCAAGTCTCAGGTTAAATATCTTTTCCTTAGAAAGTCTTCCCTGGTACTTCAAATGAATGAGGTCTTTCTTCTTTGTCTCCTGCAGAGCATTTAACACACTAAATGATCAGTTGTGTGATTATGTGCTCAGAGTCCCTCTGGCCCCCTAAACTGTGTGCTTGTAGAAGGCTGGGACCGCATCCACCTTGTCCACAGTCCTCAGCACATGGAAGGCACTCAATGAATATTTGTTGAATAAATAAATAAATGCATTCTGCCATTTGTTTATTACAGAGACGTGCATTTTTCAAATCACATGAAAAAAATTGCCTGAGTCATCTGCCCTGCTTACCCAAAGCCTTGACTGTTGAGCCGGGCCTTGTTAGCTGTCCATGAGGAATACCAGCCCACATACTGCTCCAGGTTGGAGCAGGTGATCTGGTCTGGTGTAACCTCTCCTGACTCAAACCCCAGGGGCTTATGATATGGGCATTCTGGAAAAGAAAAGGCAACATATATTAAAACCCTCATATCACATCGCAACACTCAACAAACACGACATGACTAAAATGACAAATCAAACCATCTCATTTGCACTTTGGAAGGTGGAGAATGTTTTGCTTTGCAGCGCAGTTCACGATGGATCTTCAACCTACTCACTGCTCTTATGAGAAGAGAGTGAAGATGAAGTAAAAGGATTTCCATAGAGACTCACAACATTCATAAAAGCAGACAAAAGGGGCTCTATGGCAACCTGAGGTGGGGGGGGCTGAGAAATACTTCACCTCCTCCACAAACTTAGACATTTAAAAAACCAAGAGGTTCACAGAGAAATATCATACTTAAATGCCATACTCTTTATTTTCTGCATGAACACAGTTTTAAACAGCCATCCTGCATGATGACATCAGGGTCCCTACTTATCCCCAGGCAGCATAGGATGCTAATGATAGAAACAAAACAATGGTGAGAGGCAAGAAAGGCAATTATATATTGAGACTGATTTCTCACTTGTAAATTGCAGTTTTCTCACTAGTCTAATGGGAAAAAAAGGGCGGGGGGTGAAATGTGCCTGACTATTAAATGAGGTACAGTTGAAAGGAGCTTTTTTTTCCAAATACGAATAGCCAAAGCTAGTTCTTAGATGTTAACCGTTTGCTGCTTGTCATGTATTTCTTCTCGCATTTAGTGTTGGGTTACCTGGTCAAAAACTTTTGCCCAGCATCCATTCTCCCCTTCTTTTTGACGAAAGAGCCCTAATTTTGTTGGGCAGCAATGTAACCAGCTAAAAAAAACCCCAATCTTTCCAAGTCTCTTTTGTGGTTAGAAGTGACCACATGATACAATTTGTGACCAGTGAAATATAAGATGATGTCTGCTGGGGATTTCTGATCAGTTTTTGCTCACCCTTTCTTCCTGTTGCCTGGAAGGAAAACCTGACGGCTAGCACAGAGGTAGCCATCTTGCACAATGAGGGTAAGGCCAAAAGAACTGCAGAGACCTCAGCCCTGATATCCTTACTACATGAGTCAAAACAAAAGTAATTTCATAAGCCACTACTTAGGGGGGATCTTTTCTAATCAAATGCAGATTCTAGCTAAACTTCTATAGAAGACAAATGATAAACTTATACAAAGACATTCTTCCAGTTTTCTGATTGTGAACGATAAATGTCAAGTAAGTTATTTTTTTTTCCATGTGTAAATTTGAGTTCAGTCTGAAGAGCTGAACGTATTTACTGGGGCATCATCGCCTCCCAACAGTAAGATGAGTGCTGAGGTCTTTCTGGAGCATAATTTTCAAAAGTCAGTAAGACAGAATGAAGCATGCGAAAGCTTGAATGCGATCCATCCTGAGACCAGAATGCCCGCACAGTAGTCATGCCCTGTCCTCAGAGGGCTGAAGACAGAAAGACAGCTTCAGGCCTCTGACCAGGGAGGCTTCACCACCTTTTTGCCCAGTGCACCGAAGGGAAGTGTCCAACCCCCACCAGTAGCTGCAGCTCAGTGGGGCTGGAGGTGAGGGGACTGTATTGGTAGTTTATCTAGTACCCAAGGCTTCAGGAACCTATTAAGAGAATGGGAATTCCTGGGAGTGAGGACAGGAGTGCTTTATGGGCCGCTCGATCAGGCCTTGTGTGGTCAAATCATCAGGAGGGCTTGCTAAGGATGCAGTTTCCAGTATTCCACCCCTGGAGCAGCCTTATTTTTAACAAGCACACTTTCAAAGCGCACTTTGGAAACCTTGACCTGTCAGGGAAGGCCTTTGTTGGTTGGCAGATTCAGTGACCTACTGCCTGTGGCCTTGGGGCCTCCTCCCCTCCTTAATTCCCCTCTGACCTGGAAGACAAGCCCGTGCCCCCCGGAAGGAGGGACAAGGTCGCAGCACCAGAAAGCTGTGTTTCAGTGGGGCCCAAGGTTATTATTAGCCCATCTAATAGTTAAGAGTGGGCTGGGAACCTACGGAGACCTAGCCAGCGGCAATGGCCTCGGAGGCCGGTGAGATCTAGACATGGGCCCTGCCCACACTCTCCAGGAAAGTGATGATCTTGCCGTCCCCATGGCCTCAGTTGCCATCTGGGAGTCAATGCCAGACTCTCAGGCCCCAAGCCTTAGCTAACCATTGTCCATTTTCCAGGTGAACGGTTCCATCTGGGTGACCCAAAAACCCCTCCCACCCACACATCCAAAACCAAGCCCTTCAGCATCCAAGCCCCAAGCCTGCCCCTGTCCAGTGCTCCTGTCTCAGGCATTGGTGCCTCTAGCTACCCAGCTGTCCACCCAGAAAGCCGGTGGTGTGGCCCAGGGCACAAAGCAAAGACTGTCTGACAGGTCTCTGCCTGGGCACCACCTGGGGAGTTACGGAAGTGCTAATGTTCAGGTCACCCTGCAGAGATGCTGATGTCATTGGTCTGGGGTTGGACCTGGCTAGGGGTAAAGCTGCAAGGGAGTGTAATGAGCAGCCAAGGTCAAGAATGCCTGCTTAGAGTCAATGTGAGCTGGGATTGGATCCCACTCTCTGTGTGAGCTCAAGCAAGCTGCTTAACCTCTCTGGATCTCAATTTCCTCATCTGTGAAATGGGCACAACAGTATGTGCCTCCATAATGTCCCTGGGATTACATGAAATAATGTTTGTAGAGTCTGTAGTGCCTGGCCAAGAGCAACAGATTAAATTGGTGTAATAGAAAAAATATATATATATATACATATATATATATGTGTGTGTGTGTGTGTGTGTGTGTGTGTAATAGGGTGAAGTTGTGGGAATATATTGATGTCTTCTTGAGTTTTTCATGTTTGTCTTTCTGGTGAAGACTCACCCGGGGAGGAAATGTAACTTCCCTCTACCGCGCTCTGTCCTGCCCCCATCATCCCCTGTACATCTCCCCAAGAAGGAGTCCAGCTTCATGTTTCTAAAGGTCTGTTCTTCTTGCGCCAGGAAGAATAAGCCCCACGCTCGTGTTTGTGTGTGCGTGTGTTCGTGTGTGTGAGATTCAGGAGAGGAAAAGGCTGTTGACAGCACAGCATCTCTCAGATTTATGAATTTGGAAGATCTAGGCCTCAACAGAAGTTAGCTGATGGTGCTAGAGGAGGTGACTGGAGATTCTGGACTTTGGCCTTTGTGGGGGAAAGGGGGGTGCTCATGGAGGGGCCTGAGCTCAGTGGGGACATGCTTCCTCTGAGAGGGCTGGACCACGGATAGGGTCAGGGAGACCCCCTCAGGAAACCCGGGAAGGTCCGTGGGACTGAGCTGAGCTTGGTTCAGAGGGAGAAGAGCCACCACCAAGGTGTCCACCTTCAGGTGGGGTTGTGGGCCAGGCAGAGAGTCTGCCACCTAGCCTGAGCCTAAGCCCTGCCCCCAAGCAGCCCTTGCAAGCCCATGGGGGCTTCATGTAGTCCAAGGAGAGAGGAAGGACCTTTAACAAGCCTGTCTTTAGACTCCTCACAGGCCATGACAAAGGAGGCCTCAAGCTGGAGTTATTTAAACTTGGAAAAATAGGAAATGTGATATTTCTCATGCTGTGTGCTGTGGAGTAAACTGCAGTCAAGTTATGTTATTTTTCCTGACTCCTCCTTTCCCCTCTTTCTCCTCTCCTCCTCCTTCCGTGGTCCTGGCTGAGCTCCCTTTTGGTCCTCATACAGGCCTGGAGGCCTTCCAATGAGGCTACTCCCTCTGCCTGTGACACTCCTGTCCCCTCTCCTCCTCTTTCACCTGGCCAACTCTACTCATGCTTAAGATCTCAGCCCTCTTCCCCTTCCTGCCCTGAGCTGAGTAAGGGACCCCAGCTGCTGCCTCCCCAGGCACCCTGTTCCTGTTACTTATTCCCTGTCCTTGTGATAATTTAATTGCCAGCTCCCTCGTCTGTCTGGCTCACCATTCTAGCCTCTGAGCTGAGCAGAACGCCTGCACGTGCTAGGCACTCGATAGTTATTGACTGGATGCTGAATGAAGGGATCAACAAAGATTATCACCCATCTTGGGGGGCCGCTAGGAGTAAGCAGAGAAAACAGCAGAAACAGGAAGCAGAAAGCTCAGGGAGGAGACAGAGGTTGCCCAGCCCAGGGAACACCCACCGCCCTGAGCAAAAAGAAACTGTCACTTGAGCATAAACTAGGATTAAGCGACACAAATAACATTGCTGGAGGAATTAAGGGGCTCGCCATCAGATTTACACGGAATATGGCCTTCGCACGTTTTCTGCCCGATGGAAGTTAGTGTAGCTATAAAGCCTGTTTTTACCCTCAACTTAAGGAGAAAAAGAATGTTTCTACATTCATTTTAAGGAAAAACCTACGTCTTCTGAGCGAGTGATGCTTTGCTCATTCCATGGATAAAGGCATAGTCATAATGTGCTGCTAATCCAGATTATACTTAACATACTAGCCTTTCTCATTCAGTAGCTGATTTCTCGGCTGGTAGGCATGAAGGCCAGACAGGCTTCTAAAGAACGTTAACCTAGAGAAGCACAAGGAGAGCTGAGGGACGTTCTTGACAAGAGAGAGGTGAATATTAATATGCATGTGTATGAGACTTGAACCGATATGGCCATGTAGTAGAATCTAGAATAATGTTTATAGAATAGAGTAGAAACTCGAAAATAATATAGGAATATAAGATCTAGAATAAAAGGAAAGCAGTAACGAATCATTGGATTTCTTATATTTTGATACTTGCTTACACTGTTTCCCCCTCGGAGTGCCAAGGTAATCTTAGCTCGACTGCGAAGACGGACCCCTTTAGTAATTTTAGTAATTTTCATAACGTTAAGCCGAAGTCAGTCACCTTCTTCTTCGTGGGTGGGGACACTAGACAATAACAGCCAGTGTGCCCCTGGGAGCGCCTCCTGGCAGCTCCGAGTGAAGCTCCCTCCTGTCCTTCTGTACTTTCTAGGCTCTTCTTCCCTCCTAAGGCGGGCTCTGGTGGAAGCGTGGAATCTCAGGGTCCAGAGAAACCAAGCAACATTCTTAACATTCCACTGAGGATCTGAGGCACTGATGGGCAAGTGACTTCTGGAACATTGTGGCTAGTCCTACTGCCCTGAATCATCTCTTTCGTGGAAAAACCCATTAACACCAACAAACCAACTCTTTCACACTTAGGTTGCATTTTTTTCCTTCCTGGAAATATCTGTGCTATTAAAAAATAAAACAAAAGCAAAAACCAACCAAAAAAATGGTGGGGAGAGGGGAATGCTTAAGCTAAAAGAATTTCTGATTTCAGAACTTCAAGTTCCTGGCAGGTGTGTGGGGAGAGAGCTTGGGGGACCCGGGTCGACTTCACATTTCTCAAACACACAGCTCTCCTCAGCCTCACAGTTGATTGGGTCCATGAGGCCCATCTGCAGAAATAATCTCTTTTTAAGTTGCTTGCAGAAAGAACTTCGAGTGGAGTTCCAGTCGGTCTTCAGGTCTCTGCTGAAGAGAACATTTATTGCCACCGCATGGGAAACTCCTTCGGGCTGGAGCTAATGCCTTCATTTTCATCTTCCTGTCGGCGCCTAGCATATAATAGGCACCTGATGACAAAGGGTGGAATTGAATTTTAAGTGGGTTATTAAGGAGGGTGCTTCCATATTGACTGGGCAGGGCACACCAGTATAGAGTGGTTGCAGGAGCTCCCGCCGGGGCACACAGTGGGGGGGACGTCCGGTAGAAGCCCACCAAACTCAACGGCACTTAGTGCTTTCCTCGCCGCCGGGACCCCTCTGCGGCTCGCCAACAGACTTAGCTCACAGACCACTCCTACCCCTTTAGTAAACAGGAAAACGGAGCCAGTAAAGGCCCTGCCTCCCCCGCAATTTGCTATTTTAATGCAAATTTAATGAAATAAGAGAAGCTCCCACATGTACACACATACTGTGTCTAGCGGAGCTATTATTAGGCGATTACGTAAAGTGAATGACTTGGCATGGCACCATCATAACCCTGGAGAGGGGTGACAAAGACAGTTTCAGGCAAAAGAGGCCCTGAGCCATGGGAAGGACTGAGCGCTGCAAGTACTTGCTGGGCCCCCAAGCCCCTGAAAGTCCGAATGTGAGCTCTCGGGAGGCGCGAAGAAAAGGAGCTGACCTTTATTAAGCTACAGTTTGCTGGGTTCAACACAAGAAGCTTTTCATGCCTCCTCCCACTGATTCCTCATAACAACTCCTTAGAGCAGGGGTCAGCAAACTGTGGCCCTTGGGTCAAAGGTGGCTCGCCACCGGTTTTTGTAAATAAAGTTTTATTGGCACACAGCTGTGCTCTATGGCCGTGTGTCACGTCTATGGCTCCTTCCGCCCTACAGCGGCAGAATTGAGGAGCTGAGCCCCTTTGACCTGCAAAGTCATAAATATTTAGCATCTGGTCCTTTACAGACCAAGTTTGCTGGCACGAACCTTACAGGAAGACATTCAGAGTAGCCAGGAAGGTCTATGTTATGCTGCAGAACAAATTGTCTTGGAAATTTCAGAGGCTTAACGCAACAAAAGTTTTTCGCTCAGGTGACTTGTCCATTATAGGTTGGCAGGGGTTTGTGCTCCATTTAATCTCCTGGGACCCACACTGAAGGAGAAACCACTTTCTCAAGGAGGGAAGGGAGAGCCAGAGAGTTGAGTACCAGCCCTGAAATGCTCATTTGGGAAGAGACACTGCTCACTTTGGCCGGAACTGCTCATATGGTGCCACCTGACTACAGGGGGGCTGGGATGTGGGGAAGCACACGGTTGTTTGGTGAGCAATAAACCCTCGGGCACAGTGCAACTACCTCCATTTGACAGAAAAAGACCAAAGTGGGAGTCCCAGAGTTAAGAAATGAGGCAGCCAGGGTTCCACCTCTGGTCTTTCTGGCTCAAAAGCCTGTGCTTTTCTCAAATGCCCCACCTCCTACCATTGATTTCTTCTCATAAATTCCATGAGTCTGTTTCACTGAAAATAGGTTCCGGCTCACCGTCTCACGTAGGCCAAGGACAGATGCAAGAAGCTGTTTCGAAACGACATCAGTGTGGTATGTTGGAACAGTGCCCGGTGTGTGATTTGAAGCTCAGAGGCCAACTGTGTGTCCCGGGGGCCGGGAGGGGGGCTGTTAATTCAGCCAGGTTGAAGGGAAGAGGAGAAACGGTGTTCCTAAGGACACCCCAAGGATCTGGTGCCCTAAGGAGAGGGGACACTCACCTGGTATGCAGTCTAAGGAGGTGGCACCAGCAGACCAGAGGGCATTGGCACCTCCTTGGCAATCACATTTGCAGGCTTTCTGGTACCAGGGGTCCTCACCCTCATCCTGCGGGAAGCCAGAGGGGCAGGAGGGTCAGTCACAGTCAAAGGCAACTCTGGCCAGAGCCCCTGGGAAAAGTTTGTGTTCAAAAACCTTGCTCCTGGGCGCCTGGGTGGCTCAGTCGGTTGAGCGTCTGCCTTCAGCTCAGGTCGTGATCCTGGGGTCCTGGGATCAAGTCCCGCATCGGGCTCTCTGCTCTGCGGGGAGTCTGCTTCTCCCTCTCCCTCTGCCCCTCCCCCCTGCTTGTGCGCTCTCTCTCTCTCTCTCTCTCTGTCAAATAAATAAATAAAATCTTAAAAAACAAAAAACAGGGGCACCTGGGTGGCTCAGTCGTTAAGCGTCTGCCTTCGGCTCAGGTCATGGTCCCGGGGTCCTGGCATCGAGCCCCAGATCAGGCTCCCTGCTCTGCGGAAAGCCTGCTTCTCCCTCCCCCACTCCCCCTGCTTGTGTTCCCTCTGGCTCTCTCTCTCTTTCTGTCAAATAAATAAATAAAAATCTTTAAAAACAAAAACCCTAGATTATTATTTCAGCCTTAACACACACACTTGCCACTCATCTTTGAGTCCAGATTAATAAACGTCCACCACTGTGGGTGAACAGACACATCCAGGCAGGGAGCACTGTTTGCCCCATTGTAGTTATCTTCAGGGGCTGGGGCAGCCCCAGTCCAAGGTCAGGCTCCTCACTTCCCCTGGAAGTCCCTTTTAGGGATCCAGTTTTAAAAGGTAATGGAGGGGCACCTGGGTGGCTCAGTGTGTTAAGCGTCTGCTTTTGGCTCAGATCCTGATCCCAGGGTCCTGGGATGGAGCCCCGAGTTGGGCTCCCTGCTCAGTGGGGAGCTTGCTTCTCTTTCTCCCTCTGCCCCTGCCTCTGCTCTCTTTGTCTCTCTCTGTCAAATAAATAAAATCTTAAAAAAAAAAAAAGGTAATGGATTCAAGATTACATCACCTATATTAAGGCCCGGTTTCCTTACATTCTCTCATTAAAACACCAGTCTTGAACTTGCCCGGAGAGAATGTGCCATTGCCGCCACCAGAATAAAATATCTTTAAAAAATACCTTTTTTTAAAAAGTGATAATCCTACACATTATTTTGAGCTAGGAAAATCTTCAAAAACAGCTTTCTTACTGTAACATACCTCAGTAGACGATAATCCCAGTATGGCTAAGCAAAAGGACAAGAGAGGGAAAAAAATCAAGTTAAAAAAAGAAAGAGAAATTCAACAAAATTATTCATTCCATGGAAACGTGAAATAAAAATAGTCACATAAAAGTCAACAAAGCCCCTTCTGGAAGAAGTCAAACTAAGTAAATATCTGCCAGGAATAACATCCACAGATGCTGAGAAACTAGGGACAGTAAAATTAAACAGACAAGGATAATAATTATTATTATTTTAAATTGAACTCTCCCCCCAAAGTGTGGCTCCAACTCGCGACCCCAAGAAGAGTCACATCCTCTACTTACTGAGCCAGCCAGATGTTCGTATTATTTTTGTTCTTTATAGAATTTTGGAAAACACATTAATGTAGCAAAGAGGGAAAAAAATGCACCTGTATTTCTTATCACCAAAGGCAACACTGTTAACATTTTCATATAAATCTTTCCAGTCTTTTTTTCTATGTGTATTTTTTAAAACATATTTGAGAACCTACTACCTAAACAATGCTTACAATTTACATTTAAATTATGCTTACAATTGTTACATTTGACATTAACAGTGCTAGCTTTTCCCTTTACTTATTAACCCTTCATCATCATCATCATCAACAACATCCCTAGTGTCTGCCAAATGTGCTATTCAGAAGCTGATTCCTAGCCCTCTCCTCCTACCCCCAGTGACACACTTAGGTTATTTAGGATTACCACATTGTTCAGAAAATCTTTTTAAGGTTTGTTTATGATGTACAGGAAATATCAAACCACAAAGTACAAAGTACAAATACTGTATAATTAATGTGGGAAAACTAAGTGTGCAAAATTTAACATAAAACTAACATCTGAGGGGCGTCTGGGTGGCTCGGTCGCTAAGCGTCTGCCTTTGGCTCGGGTCATGATCCCAGGGTCCTGGGATCGAGCCCCGCATCGGGCTCCCTGCTCGGCGGGAAGCCTGCTTCTCCCTCGCCCACTCCCCCTGCTTGTGTTCCCTCTCTCACTGTGTCTCTCTCTGTCAAATAAATGAATAAAATCTTTAAAAAAAAAAAATAATAAAAATAAATAAATAAAATAAAATATTAAAAAAAAGCAAAACTAACACCTGAACTATCTTTATAGAAGTATGAATAAAGAGAATGAATGCACAATTTATTTTTTTAACAGTTTTTATTTAAATTCAATTAATTAACATATAACATATTGTTGGTTTCAGAAGTAGAGGTCAGTGATTCATCAGTCTTTTTTTTTTTTTTTTCAATTCCTCAGTCACACCAGCCACATTTCAAGTGCTTCCTGGCCACATGTGGCTAGGGGCTGATGTACTGCCCAGGTACAGAACATTTTATTAATAGCAGAAGGTTCCATTAGACAGTCCTTGTTAGTTTAAAGCACCAGAGCTCCATTTCCCATTTTCAACCAAACGGAAACCTTCATTTCTTTTCCGATTATAAAAGCAACACATACCTATTATAAAAATCTTGAACAAAACTTGAGAGTAGGCAATAGGAAATAAAAGTCCCTCCTTAACCATTTTTCCTATCTAAAAGTTGAATATGATGCCCACGAAAAAAACCTTTCAGGTTGATTTAGAGAGTGAAGGAATGGTCTCATCTTTTGTGTCACAATTATAAAAGCTATCTTTTTCAAATTGTGCCTTCATTTAGATACTACATATTTACCTATTCTGCAAACCACTTTTTAATGTCCAATGTGAGCCTGGCACCACATCAGGGCCTGGGCTTTCTGAAATGGAAGCCTCGCTCCTTGCCCGCAAGGGGCTGGAGGGCCCAGGAGAAGACAGGCCCCTGGATGATGCATGTGGTGAGTATTAGGCCAGGTTATGCATAGGCTGCTGTGGGAGTCCAGGGGAGCATATCTTTTAGTCAGAGCACTTCAGGGCTACCCCTCACCTGTAGTCACCAAACTTCTGTCTCCCCTGAGCCCTTGTTCACGGGTTATTCATTCCAGAGATTCCCTGGTCTGCCTGTTAAGGGCAGAATCAATCCTCTCAGGTCTCGACGAAGGTTAGGAGTGCCATCTTGGAGGCCAAGTCCTGTGCTGGCAAAAGAAGTTACTGACTTCTTATTTTCACATCCAATGGACTCTTCCCAACACTGACCTTATGTCTTCATGCTCCAACATGCTCTCAGTCCCTCCCATCTTCCTTTAGCTTCCATCCCACTGTTCACCTGATTCTCCCATCACTCTGAATATCCTCTCAGGCTCCTTTGATAGCTCTGCTTCTTCTACCCACCTCATAAAGCTTCCTAAGCCCAAAAGTCCAACTCTTGCTTTGAGTGGTTTACCCGGTATCTCCCCATAGATGTCTCTTACTATCCAAAATTGGACCCAACCAAGTCCTGACACAGTCATGGAGCAACCTGAACTCTCATATGTTGCTGGTGGGGATGTAAGTCAGTCTAACTTCTCTGAAAAACTATTCGGCAGCTTACACTAAGGAGGAACATATATGTGCCCTATGAACCAGGAATTCTACTTGTAAGTAGCTACCCACCAGAAATGCATACATATGTTCTCCAACTGACAAAAACACGTGCTAGATTACCCTCAGCGGCAGTATTTGTATTAACCCCAAACTGGAAACACTCATATGCCCGTCAAGGGCAGAATGGGTAGGGGCACCTGTGGCTCAGTTGGTTAAGTGTCAGACTCTTGATTTTGGCTCAGGTGGTGATCTCTGTGTCGTGAGACTGAGCCCCGCATCGGGCTCCGTGCTGGGCGTGGAGCCTGCTTAAGATTCTCTCTCTCCCTCTCCCTCTGCCCCTTCCACATGCCCCCTTTCTCTCTCTCCCTCTCTAAAAAAAAACAAAAAAAAAAGAGTAGAATGGGTACAGGTGGCAAATTCCCACCAGCGGAACACTAAACTGCAATGAAAAGGGATGACCACAATACGGCCGCATCTCACAAACACTGCTGAGTGGAAAGTCAGATGCTAGAGTGGACACACCATATGAATCCCTTCGAAATGTACAGAAGCAGGCAAAAGTAATCCATGCCATTAGACTCTAGGGTCCTGGTCACATCTGGAGCAGGGAGCGGCCGCTGGTGATATTCTGTTACTTGATTGGAGTGCTGGTTATGTGGGTGTGTTCAGTAGTGAAAATTCACTGAGCTATACACTTACCTGTACTTTTCTGTATGTATGTTGTACTTCAATAGAAAGTTTTTTAAAAATAGAACTCATTGCATCCTTCCTCAAGTTGTTCTTCTCCTTTGTTTCTTATCTTACTGAATGGCTTCACCATCCATTTAGCACCCCATCTAGAGACTTGGGGCTTGTCCTAGTCACCTTTTTTCCCTAAACCCCCATATCCAGTTGTCAAGCAGGGGCCTTTTTCCTCTCCACGCACCCCCCCGTCACTTCCTGTGTTAGGCCCCCACTCTTCCTGCTCCCATACTCTCCCTGCTGAAGGGAGAACTTGCCTCATCCACCCTTCATGCTGCCGATGGAATGGAATGCACACCTGATTGTGGCACTTTCTTGCTGCAAAACCTTTGCTGGGTCCTCATTGCAAGGCTCCAGGTTCCATCTCTCACTTATTAGTTACATGGCCACATCTCTCCATTTCCTCATCCCTAAAATGGGTATGATAATCATGTGTCTTTCAAGGGGCCGCCATGATCTATCTCCTGCCTGCTTCCCCAAATGTATCTTTTGCACGCTCTACTAGCTGCAATTCATCGCATGTGCCAGGCTGTTTCATGCCTCCGGGCATGTCTGTCTGGTTTCGTGGCTTTAAAGGCTCTCATCTTCCAACTTTTCTGCCTGCCTACCCCCTTCCCTGTGCAGGGGACTTCTTCTGTCCCCCCGCCCCCGTGTACAACTCACCACTTGCTCTGGCTTGTGTCCTGCCTCTCTCTTGGGCACAGGTTTATCTAAGCACTTGTACACTTAGAGAAATTGATATAAAAAACATGCCTGGGGCGTCTGGGTGGCTCAGTTGGTTGAGCAACTGCCTTCGGCTCAGGTCATGATCCTGGAGTCCCGGGATCGAGTCCCGCATCGGGCTCCCTGCTCGGCGGGGAGTCTGCTTCTCCCTCTGACCCTCCCCCCCTCTCATGTGCTCTCTCTCTCTCTCTCAAATAAATAAATCAAATCTTAAAAAAACAAAAAAAAAAACATGCCTGAAATTGACTGGTCCCAAAGGATTTATTCTTTAAGTAATATTCATTATCTACTATATTCCAGGTCCAGCTTCGGGTGCTGGGGATATAGCAGTTAACAAAATAGGAGAAGGGAGGCGCCTGGGTGACTCAGTCCATTAAGTGTCTGCCTTCGGCTCAGGTCATGATCCCAGGGTCCTGGGATCGAGCTCCGCATCGGGCTCCCTGCTCAGTGGGAGCCTGCTTCTCCCTCTCCCCACTCCCCCTGTTTGTACTCTCTCTCTCTGTGTCAGATAAATAAATAAAATCTTAAAAAACAAAAATAAAAACAAAACAAAATAGGATGTACATCATAGGGTGTATATAGTCTAGGCTGGGGGTGTTGAGGGCTAATGAATGAATGAATAAAATATCCTGCAGTGAGAAGGTGATATTGGAGCAAAGACCTGAAAGAGGAGGCAGACCTGTGAGCAAAGCACTCTGGGCAGAGGGAATAGCAAGTGTAAAGACCCTGAGGTGGGTGGCTCCTGGGTGGGTACTTGGTGTGCCCTAGACAGAGCGAGGAGACTCTGGGGCTGGAGCCGATGAGTAAAAGAGTTTTAGGAGATGAAGGGGCAAAGTGGGCGGGGGGGGGGGAGGTATGGGAGGCAATCCGTGCCAGGCCTTGTGGGCACGTGAGGACTTTGGCATTTAGCGGGAGTAGGTCCTTGCAGGGGTTCGAGGAGAGGAGGGCCAAGACAGATCGGGGCTTGTAAGGCTCCCTCTGGCTGCTGGGTGTAGACTGGATTGCCTGGGGCAAGCTGGAAGCAGAGAGCCCAGTGGGGTGAGCACAGACATGGGGTCGGGAGCCTATGGTGGCTTGGCCCAGCTGGTGGCAGTGGAGGGGAGGAGAATGGCTGGATTCTGACCGGCTGTGGAAGGTAGCCAACAGTTACTTGCTGACAGGTGACAGGGGTGTGAGAGAGAGAGAGGCTCAGGGCCTGAGGGACCGGGAGGAGAGAGCTGCCATTTCCTGGGGGAGGGGAAGGTTCCCGGAGGAACAGGGACTGTGGGGGATGGAGTGAAGATAGGCCCCCGGAGAGGCCTGTGGGACACGCAAGCGCTGAGGTGGAGTGGGCTCCGGGCTGGCAGCTCCTGGAGCTCAGGGGAAAGCCCAGCCCGGCTGGACACTGCCCTGCGCTCCTGGCAGGGGGTGTGACGTGAACCCGGCGCCTCCGTCGCGCAGCTGTCCCCCAGGAACCGCCAAGTAGAGGCGCGCACGAGTGGCATTGACTTGATTTGGGGGTTGGTGATCCCGGAGGCACTTGGCTCCACCCCATCTCCCAGAGAAGCTGGGGATGGCTGAAATGCCGAAAGCCTCTGTCAGTTGGGCAAACGTCAGTCGTGCCAAGACCCTCTTGGGGGGGGGGGGGTGGCGGTCAGAGGGGAGGCGTGCGGGTCACTGACAGTGTGGCCTTAAAAACCAAATCAGTTTGGATCAGAGCCTGTGCCTGTCGCTGAGGAGGGTTTTTGCAGCTGCAACTAAGCAAACCCAGAGATCGAGCGAGACCCCTGATTGCTGTGGCCTTCGGGGCCTTTCCCTTTCCCCAGGGTCACAGGCGGGCCCTGGGGGTGCTGCGTTCTGCAGAAACAAAGCAGAAGGCCGAAAGGAAAGGGAGGTGGGGCGTGTGTGTGCGTGTGTGTGTGTGTGTGTGTGTGTGTGTGTGTGTGTGGTTCTGCCACTGTGTCCCCGTGGGGAGGAAGAGTCCTAAGAGGAAGGCCTGCTTTCAGAGCCACTTCCCGAGTTCACTCAGATGTTGGGCTGACTTGTGATGTTTTCTCCTTCCCAGGCTCCCCTCCCCAGAAAGCTTTCGTCTATAGGCAGCCTGGGGATCTGAGGCACCAGATCCTTATGGAAATGAGCAGAGAGAGAAGGAACAACAAGTATTTTTCAGGAAAATCTGTCACCAAGGGAGCAGCAACATGGCTGGAGAGTCCCGAAATGATTTCCTCACCAAAAAGCCAGTGAGCAAAAAGCAAAAGCGTGCTTGACTACAACATCTTATAATACCAGAAAATAACATTGCTGGAATGAGCGACAGAAAACAGGTCATCCTTGAAAGGAAAAAGAGGAAAAGATTTTGATTGTGTGGTTGCATATTTTTCTCCCTCCTGGGATTGTGTTTGAGATTTCTCCCCATGTTACGGGTGTCCGCTCGAGCGTCTGGGATGTGTCCCACTCACCGATCTTAGATTCATGCAACATGGGCTCATCCTGCCTTCAGCCCTTTCGCCCAAAGGGCCGCTCCGTGGGGAAACCCTTGTTATCACAGCAAGAAAATTCAAGGCTTGCTGTCTCTCAAAATGTACCTTGCAAGCTCAAGAGGAAAAGTGGGCATTAGACACACATAGGAAAGACTCTTTGAGTCTTTTTGATGGATGTCACTAAGTCCAGAGCTTTCCTTCCCATGGAAACAGATGAAGCTGAGGAGAAAAGCATAAAATTATGAATGGCAAAAGCTGTCAGTAACTAGCTTCTCATCTCCTTGAGAACCAAGAGTAAGACACAGGAAGAAAGCAGCAGGCTGCAATAATGTCCCTCTCGAAGAAGAAGAAAGAAGGAAATTGTCCTGGTGTGAAAATGTTGCTATTTGTGGCTACAGGCATATTCCTGGGTAAATCTGTTATCTGTACATGCTTCAACACAGATGAATCGCAAAAACATATGCTAAGTGAAAGATAAAAGACCATATGTTGTATGATTCCACTTAAATGTAATGTCTGGAACAGACAAATCTACAGAGACAGGAAGTAGATCGGCGTTTGCCAGGGGCTGGGGAGAGGGGGAAACGGGCTTAATGTCTACCAGTTTCTTTGGGGAAGGGGGGGTGACGAAAATGTTCTAAAATTGGATTGTGTGCGCCACAAATCTATAAATACACTAAACACCATTGAATCGCACATCTTAAATGGGGGAATTTAATGCTATGTAAATTACATCTCAATAAGCTGCTTAAAAAAAACTCTGCTGTCACCTGCAAAGGAGACACACCTGTAAGATGAGGTTTGCTTTTAAAAAAAAAAAAAAATATATATATATATATATATATATATAAACATGACCAAGTAATGGATCTCTTTATTTTAATAAGGTGAATTTTTAAAAATCATCATTTGCATTGAACCCAAGATGTACAATGTAAGATAAATAGAAGCCTGCCTCCGTTATCAGATGTAGGTAGTGCTTTACGATGACAGTGTCTCCGTTCCCAAATGAACCTTCACCCAACGCACAGGTGGTGGAGTCAATCCATTTATCTTAGTTCACTGTAATAAGGAGCTGCTGCCACCGTGAAACAGAAACAGTGAAGAGTACATTAGACAAAGAACCTTTGTCTTCCGGTTCCCAGTTGTGCAATAGAAAACATTTTTCCCCTGTGCTTTGGCCTTGATTCTCTCTCTGGATGGGAAGCTGAGGAAGTGCAGCAACCGCATCCTGTATTCTTGTATTTTTTTCTCTGCCTTTTGAGCATCCCTCTAGCTCAGGGTAGAGCACACATAGGTCGCTAAGCCACACTGACCATAAAATGGTCCCTGGACCACCCCGTGGACCACATTCCAGTCCACCCAGCCAGATGGTATTTTCTGCTCTTCATGGAAATTTCTGGAGCCCCTCAGCCATGCACACAGATTGGTAAGAGAACAGGAAAGAATGCTGTGCTCCGGGCCTCCTGACAGCGTGTCTTTTATTACAGATATCTCCTGAATGGGCAGGTCTAATTTAAAAAGGGGTTGGTAAACTTTTATAGGGCTTTTTCCTATTTGGGGGTCACAGAGCACAGATGTTAGACTCAGCACTGTGAAAGTAATAAAGATCTGCCCTGCGTGTCAAATTCTTACACAGTGTTTGGCCCATAGCAACGATTCAGGGGTGGGTTTTTAACGAACCGACAAAAAAATGAGTGGATGGATGGATGGATGGATGAATCTCAATGCCGATCACACAGAAGAGAAATCGGAGGGTGAGGCCTATGGATATCAGAGAACCGGAAATATGGGAATCTAAGCTTTGAAAGGTTCTGTTTAGATTTTCTTGCTGAGGAAAGCGCAAGGAGTAAAGGAAAAACAACAAAACACCCGGAGCACCTTCAAGTATTGAGAGTTCCTGAGACAAATCGCTGACTCTTCATTGCAAAGCAGGGAAAAAAAAACAAAAACAAAAACAGACAATTGGTCTCAATGATCCCTACTTAAGAAATGTATTTGGGTTTGCAAAATGACCTTGGGATTATATTCATACAGATCTTTCCAAATACTGAGAACGGTGACGAAATACCAAAAGGCATGCGATTGGGGGAATCATGGAAGCACATACTCTACCAATAACGTCTAATGGGAGGGCAGAGAGGAGCGTGATTTAAACCAGGAATTCTGACTCCACTTGTGTGAGTTGCGTCCCGTCTGTCCACCAGGTCATTTGCAGAGTGGAGAGGCCTCCTCCTTCCCGCCCTTCTTATTTATTTCCTGTGACACGCATAAATACACAATCACCTCGAAGAAGACATTCAACCAATTTCTAATGTTCAGAATGAATCTAGAAAGGAATTCTGAGCTAACAGGTCCTTGAGAGTTGAGAGAGGCATGAAGGACTATTATTTCGAAGGTTGAGAGAGAATTTAAAAGTTGAATTGGATGATATCTTAGAGATTTGCTTTTAATTTCTCCTTATTTAAGCATATTACTCCTGCCAGGGCCATATTGAGAAATTTAAAAACGATTGAGGGTATAGAGTCTTTGGAGCTTCCTGACTCTCTGTTGGATTATGCTTTCTATTAGAGTTCAGTGGTAGTCGGCATGTTATGTTAATCCATATTTAAACTAGAGTGACCTCACGTCCGGATTTGCCCGGGACAGTCCCGGTTTACACCTGTTGTCCCAGCAGAATTATTAATAGCATTCTCTTCCGCTCTCAGTAGTGTCCTAGTTTGGAAGATTAAATTCTACAGGCACTCTAAACTTTGACTCCTAAAAATTTTCAAGGCTACACCACACTTTCTTGTTAATTGTTGCAATTTATAGTTATTTTCTACAATTTCTGAGGCCCTTCCTTCTCCCTGTCCCATTTCAAGCATCCTTGGAACTTTAGAAGGCTCCTCAGAGAACCAGAAAGCCCGTGGTGAAGCTAAGAGAACCACATCCACACAAAGACAACTGTTGTTCATTAACAATGCATCTTGACCAATTAACATGCCTTGCTAGTTAATGATATTTTAATTATTCAGGTTGCATCTCTATTAATCAGCAAAATTACTAATTCAATTGTACTATTAAGTATTTGATAAATGCTAATGTTTGCACAGCACATACCTTCATAGCCGAAGAGCAGTAAAAACAAGAAGCCTTCTATCTTGCGTGGCATGCTCCGCTTGTCCCTGGCTGCAGCTCTACTTTATCCAAGTGCAGAGCTTCCCCAGGAGCAGGGGCTTAACTTGAGCACTGGTCTCATTAAGCATCTTATTCCATTTAGTTCTTAGGGCTTTGGCTGAGCCCTAGGAAGTTAACCCACATCCTGCCTCAACAAGCAAGTCTCAGAGAGGAGTCTAATGTCAACTGAGGTTGGTTTAGCAAAGGAAGATACTGGTTTTACTCTATTTTTATTTATTTATTTTTTAAGATGCATTTATTTATTTTGAGAGAGAGAGTGAGCTAGCAGGGGGAGAGAGAATCCCAAGCGGACTCTCCACTGAGCAGGGAGCCAGACGTGGGGCTCGATCCCACAACCTGAGATCATGACCTGAGCGGGAACCGAGAGTTGGTTGCTCAACCGACTGAGCCACCCCAGGCGCCCCTATGGTATCTTTAAATCTAAGAGAAACAGTGGAGGGCAAGAGAAACTACAATCAGAAGACCCAGGTCTTAATCCTTTCTTTGCCATCGACTTCTCGGGGGGTGACCTTGAGCAATTTCCTGCCAAATCAGCACTAACATTGTCAAATTCTATGAAAGGGACATGGATTTCCTTCTTGGAAAGCAACTTGGCATCATGTTCATACCTATTCACTCAGGAAAATACTCAGTTTGGGAGGGGGAGATGGTTACACACAAAGACGTACCTTGCTTTGTTATTTATAATAACAAAAAATAGGACACAATCTACACGGCCAAGGTCAGGGGGTTCAATGTAGCAGGTAGAGTTAAGAGCACTGATTCCCGTGCCAGACTGGGTGCAAATCTCAGCTCAACCACTTGTCATGTGACCTTGGGCAAGTTACTTGAGGTCTCTGTGCCTCAACTTTCTCATCCATAAGATGATGATGATAATAATGCCTACTTCATAGAGTCAGTTTGATGTTCAAGTGGGGCGATTACATATATACTTAAAACAGTGCTAGACATAATTAGTTATTATTATTATACAGCCACTAATAATAAAGTTGATGGGTAAAAAGGGGAGTTGTTTAATGAGTACAGAGTTTCAGTTTTGCAAGACGAAAAAGTTCTGGAGATCTTTTTCACAACAATGTGAATATATTCAGCATTACTGAATTGTGCACTTAAACATGGTTAAGATGATAAAAAATAAAACAAGTTAATGAAACGATTGTGATAATAGGGACAAACGTGTGTTATACTCTTGATTTAGAAAAGGATGCAAATGTACACATTGTATGAGCCAAACAATGTGGAAAAATGCAGAGAAAAATACCGAGTTTCCCCTTCCCTTTTTGGTTTTGGGCCACCACGATTCCACCACAGCCCCCAGGGTCCCAGACACCTTCCCTTCATTCCTCTTGTCAAAGATGAAAAAGGCCAATCTAAAAAGATAATAATGACCCCCCCCCCGAAAGTGTAATGAACTATAAGGAGGAACAAAAAGGAGCTAGAGAAACACTTAGCCATTTAGTCAGTATTTATTAGGTGTCTACAAGCCCGACATTTACTCTGTACCGTGTACAGATTCGTCATTACACAGAGGAAGGTCTATTCAACAAACCCCACTGCTGTATTAAAAAGTAAAGGACTAATTAACCCCTGCTCTGCATTTTAGAGTTTAATGAAAAATTAACCCTTTAATAATAATAATAATAACAATAAACCTGTAATAATTCAACCGCAGTCAAAGCGCTTTTTCATTGCCATATTTCAGTTGGAGGCTTTGGGGCCAGGTGGTCTTGCTTCCTAGGAACTCCGGATTTTCTCAGGCCGCCTTGGCCCCGGGCGGGGACGTCCTCGGGACTATGACACGACCAGGCACCCACCTCTGCTGTTGCTGATGGGAGGAGAGGGTATTTGTCATTAAGCTTCTGCAATAAAAACATATCCCCCCCCCAAAAAAATTAAAAATTAAGAAAAAAAATTTAAATGTCCCCAAACAGAAAAGTAAAACAAATATCATTTTTAAAGGAGTAAGCAAAGAACTTTGTCTTGCTTTCCGTTTTTTTTGCCTGTGCACTCAAATGTTAAAAGTGGAAGAGAAAAAGGAAGCTCGCACCCTTGGTTCCACTGGGGCTCGAACCCAGGACCTTCTGCGTGTAAAGCAGACGTGATAACCACTACACTATGGAACCTCCGCGTTACAAGGTCGCCATCATTAGCTTATTCATAGTCTCGCATCCGAAACAGCGCCTCCGCTCAAAACCCGCCTCTCGGCCGTAGCTCCACCTCCGCCATGGCCCCGCCCCACCTGCAAGGTAGGGTGTTCGCGGCCAAGGCCCCGGCTCCGCCTGTGGCGTTTGGGCGGCTCGCGTAACCTGCCCGCCACGTTCGTCACCCCTGTGACCAGGGCGAGGCCAGGGCTGGGGTTACCCTCCTGAGAGCCGCCCCGCTAATCACCCGTCCCAAACTTTCTGTCAGCGCGAGGCCGGCGGGACCCGCCCAGAGGGCGGGCGGAAGCGGACCGTGCCGCGGCCACGACCGCTCTAGGCAGCTTCCCTCGGCTGGCGAGGGAGCCGCGCTTTCCCGGTTTATCCCTGGGCCCCCTGAGCCGCTGCCGGCAGCACTGGGGGGCCTTGAGTCCGGAGCGGGGCGGACAGGAGCGCCACTTGGAGCCAGAGATTCAGGCAGCGCGGGGTTTGGGTGTGGGCTGGGGGTCACTGTCATTTTGGCATTTCTGTTGCCAGGGTTGGAAGAGGCCGCTGGTTAGTGGGCCCCTTGCCCGAGGGTGTAGGCTCCTAAAACTCCCCTGACATTTTCACCGCGTTCGTCCTCTCCCGAACCCCCCACCCCCGCCCACGGGGGCTGAAAGTCGCAGGACTTTTGATGGCCCCTATGTGTCTGGGCTGGGGTGGGGATGGGAGGGCCGGTGTAGACGGGCCACCCCTTTACGGCTGGGGGTGATGAAGCGGGACCCGCCGCAAGAGTTGAGGGGCCCAGTGCAAAATGAAAATGCCAGGTTCCTTGTGCATGAGTTATTAGGAACTCCAAAACGGTGAAAAGCAGAGCATCAGACCCAGCGCCGGCCCCTGCGACCCCACAGGTCGTGGCCCGTGAACCTGTCGCTGTGCTTCCGGGACTGTGGGCCCCGATCAGATGCTGGAACCCTCCATTACGAAGGGCTCCTGTGTGGTCTCGCTTTTTAGTTTTCATTGTCAGTGCCGTTTGCCCTCCCCAGTGCCTTTGGATGGATCTTCGTCACCGTCCTAGGATTGCTCACCATCCTCAAGCTGGAAAACCCACTGAAGATCAGGCATCTCTAAGTGCTGAGCTGAACATGGCTGAAGGCTGGGGCTGTCTTTTTCCCTGGCGTCTTCCTCTGAAGCTGGCAGAATGATGGACAGATGGTACTGATTGTATGAAAGCAACCCCTTCAGCCAATTCCTGTCTTCCTGGGAAGACCCCTGGAAGAAACAGGTGGGTGGAAGGCACACTAATCTGGGGGGCATAATCTGGATTCTAGCCCTGCCCTGGTTACTCATTAGCTATGTGCTCTTCAGTTCACCTCCCAAGCCTCAGTGTCCTCCTTTGTGAAATGCGTGGGTTGGACAAGATACCCCCACTTCCCCTCTGGGTCTAAGTGTTATCCCTCCTTTCCGGGTGGGCAAATGAAGGCAGTTACCTGCCATGTATGTTTTCCACAGGAATAGAGGCAGGCCTGCAGCTAGTGCTTGGGTTCTCTACTACCAGGCTTCCTACCTCCTACTGAGCTCCCTGTAATATTCATCATGGGGCCCGTTGCAGAATGCTTTTTTGTTGATGCCTTTCTCCAGGCCTCTTGAGCACTTGATGCAGATGACCACGAGTGGATAGCCACCAGCAGGAGGATGGATTCATGAAAGCTCAACGTTTCCTGCTAATCCATGAACCATAATGACTCCCAGGATGCCCTATGATAAGTATATCCCACCTGTTTCCAAACCTCTGTCAGTGCAGAACAAGGCTGCCGCGAATTAGGCCTGAAATTACACTCACAGCTGTGTTTTGGTTTTTCTCTAGGGAATGCTTTGCTGGTCTTCCAGCCTTCTGTCTGCCCTTGCTCTAAAGGATGGGTTCTCCGAGTGCAAGCTTTGGCCAAGTTCCCACACATACTCCATGTAGAAAAGAGGCTGGTGCCCCCTCTGCTGCATGCCACGTAGGTTTCTGCCTTTAGTGAAAAACTCTTGTGCCTTTTTTCCATTCTGACAAGGAGGGAGACTTTTGTTCCACTTTCCTGCTGCCCTCAAAGTGTAGGCACAATCTCTATTGTTAGTAAAGTACAAGATGGTTTACAAAGCACTTTCACATACACTCCTATGAGGTAGCCGTGCTAAGTATGACTATCTTCATTTTTCGGCTGAGGAAGTTAAAGCCGACGAGTCTGCCTTGCCTGAGACCATTCTGCTTATACTCAGTCTTCTGATACCTAAGTGATTTCAGGAGGCCCATGTCCCCAAAGGCTACATGTTGTTCCCATAAGAGTGCCCTTGGTTTCTTGTAATATTTCATAATGCACCCGGGGAGGAAATGGATACCTTTCATTTTTTCCTTTGTAATTTTATTTCATTTTTTTTTTTTTAAGATTTATTTATTTGAGAGAGAGAGAGAATCTCGAGCCGACTCCCTGCAGAGCGTGGAGCCTAAAGCAGCGCTTGATTCCATGACCCTCAGAGGGTGACCGGAACAGGGGGCTGGATCCCAAGACCCTGAGATCATGACGTGAGCCGACACCAAGAGTCAGGCGCTCAACCAACTGGGCTACCCAGGTGTCCCTCCTTTGTAATTTTTTTTTTTTAAAGATTTTATTTATTTATTTGAGACAGAGAGAATGAGAGACAGAGAGCATGAGAGGGAGGAGGGTCAGAGGGAGAAGCAGACTCCCTGCCGAGCAGGGAGCCCGATGCGGGACTTGATCCCGGGACTCCAGGATCATGACCTGAGCCAAAGGCAGTCGCTTAACCAACTGAGCCACCCAGGCGCCCCCTCCTTTGTAATTTTAAGATGAAGTCCTCAAAAGCAGGAAACAAAAGCCTGCCCAGAAACAACCGTTGGTGACTTTGACCTTGGAAGCGTCAGCATCATGGATAGCCTTTCAGATGGCCACAGTTTTGCCTGGTACTTCAGGCAGTTCAGTCAGATGTGTGAGGCCTGCCCCCCGCCCCCAGGTATGCCCATAAGCATCTGAACAACTGTAAGTCAAATCCATCAACAAACTAGTAAATAAGGACTAGAAGTCACTTCAAACTTTTGAGTCCCCTGATTTCTCGGATGTTTGGTGTGGCTTCCCTAGCGGATGGCTTCACTGATGGAGAGCAACTCAACCAAGGAAACCATGGCCCCAAACACTGAGCTGACTTAGGAAGCTCCGTTTATCTGGTTACATTTAGAAATGGTTATACTCTGTCTTTCAGTATCGTGCTCCAGTATTTACTAAGACAACGTCATTACCTTAGTATGTCAGCTCACCTTAATTTCCTCCCTTTTGCAGCTCATCATGTTCGAAACATTTGAAAGTAGCCTATTGGAATGGATATTTGATGTTTGTTGCTCTTTGCCCACCTTCCTTTTCATAGTCATCTACATCCCTCTGTCTTCTTACCCGGCTCAACTTCTGTGGTCATTTTTATCACTCGTGCGCCCTTTTGTTGCTTGTACTTGTTGGCAAAACCACAGTCTGTGAAGTCCAGCTCTCTCCATACTCTGCCCTTGTATATGGCCCCAAGAGGAACACGTATCCAGGTCAACTGATTTCACACTAAATTCTTGACTACTTACCTCAAGTGAACGCTTAATGTAGCCTAGAATCGCGTCTACTTCCCCGTCCATTCATTCCCCTCTTCTCCTAAAGGACAGTTTCATATCTTCTCTCCCTGAACTTCCTGTACCTCCTTCCCAGCCTCACAGCTGATGAACCTGCTTCTTTTTTCAATAAAGAGATGGAAGCAATGAGAAGAGAACTTCCACAAGTCCCCACCACCTCTGCCCACCCGCCGGTATCTGTGCCATCAGAGATCTCGACCAGGCCCCTTCCTGTAGATCAGGGCTTCTCAGCAGCTGTGTTGACATTTGGGACTGAGTAACTCTTGGTCATGAGGGTCGTTCTGTGCATGGTAGGATGCCTCACAGCATCCCCGGCCTCTACCCACTCGATGCCCCTAGCACCCCTCCCCCCAGCTGTGACCACCCAAAATGTCCCCTGGTGGGGGGCGAAATCTTGGGGGCCATTTGGTAATGTGTGCAGACACTTTTGGTTGTCACAGCGTGGCTGCAGGGGTTGGTGTGCTGCTGACTTCTAGGGGGTAGGGACCGGGGATGCTGTGAAACATCCTGCCAAGCACACAACAGGCCCCCACGGCAAAGCTTACCCAGTCCCCGATGTCCGTAGTGCTGTCGCTGAGAGATCCGGTCCTAGATGAACTGTCTGCATTCCTCTCAAAATCCAGCCCGCCACCTGCTCTTGCCTCCTCCTGGAAATCACTCCAGCAAGTCCCCTTTCTCCTACATCATTATTTACCTTCTCTGTTCTCTCCTTCGGATGAGCCTACGAGCAACGCTGCAATCTCTCTCAGCATTAAAAAGAACTCTTGAGGGGCGCCTGGGTGGCTCAGTCTGCCTTCGGCTCAGGTCATGATCCCTGGGATCGAGCCCCGCGTCGGGCTCCCTGCTCAGCGGGGAGCCTGCTTCTCCCTCTCCTGCTCCCCCTGCTTGTGTTCCCTCTCTCGCTCTGTCTGTCAAATAAATAAAATTCTGAAAAAAAGAATAAAAAAAATCAACTCTTGATCCCCTTTCTGCCTGTAGCTAGTTTGATTTGTTTGCTCCTCTTTGCAGCAGAACTCCTAGAAAGATGTGTCCATAGGCACTGTCTCCGATTCCTCTCCTTTTGGAAGCACTTTGCCCTGCTGGCTTTTAGGACCCCGTCCTCTCCCGATTTTTGTTTCCTACCTTGGGAGTCACCGCTTCTCAGTCACCTCTGCACTTGGACTTCTTCTCTATTCATTCCCACCCCCTGGACGACCTCATTCATTTGAATGGCTTGAAATAACACCTATAACCTCATTGAGACTTTCCTCCCAAACTCCGAATCTACCTGCTCCACATGTCCATTTAGATGTGTGTCTAATAGGCATCTCAAACCTATCAGAGCTGCAGCGAAGCTCCTGATGTCCACCTTCAATCTGCTCCCCTCTCTCTTCCTTCTGTCAGATCGCAACAGCTTCATCTTTCCACCTATTGAGGCCCAAAACTTTGAATTAGACTTGATTCTTCTTTTCCTCATACCCTGAATCTAATCCTACTAGCAAATCCTATTGGCTTCCCCTTTAGGATCTATGTAGAATCCGATCCGTCACTTTCTGTGTCTCCTCTGCTACCACAGCAGTCAAGGCCATCATCCCATTTGGCCTGGGTCATTGCCAAACACCTCATATCCCGGCCTCCCAGCTTCTGCCCTTTTCTCCCTATGGAATATTCTCTGCACAGTAGCCAGAGTGACCTTTTTAAAAGGTAAGTTGGATCGTCTCACTCCTCTGCTCAGAACCCTCCAATAGTTCCTCACCGTAGCTAGAGTGAAAGCCAAGGGCATACAGTGGCCTGCCAGGCCCTGTGTGATGCGCCTTCTCCCCCGTCCATTACCTCTTGGATTATACATCCTATTACTTTGCCTTTTCTTTTACTGTGTACTCCGGCCACACTTGCCTGCTTGCTGTTCTTCAAACACACTGGGCCTCTTCTGCCTCGGGGCCTTTGGACCTGCTGTTCTCTCAGCCTTGAATGCTCATTCCCTAGGCCATCCCATTGCTCGCTCTCACCTTGCTCAGGTATTTGCCCAAATATCTTGTCAGCAAGGCCTCTCCTGACTGCCCTATTTACAGTTACTCTTCCCCCCCGCCTTCTTCACACTGGAAATGCGATATCCCCCTTTCCTGCCTTATTTTGCTTTGCAAGACTTACTGCCATCTCATTTGCTGGATATTTACTTACTCGTTTTGTTGCTTGTCCCCCGCCATCCTGAACTAGAATGCAAGTTCCATGAAGGTGTGGTTTTGGTTCTGTTCACTGCTTTGCTCCACAGGGCCTCATACCGGATACATAGTAAGGGTCCAGTAAATATGTCTTGAATGAATCTCTTCAGGGTTGGGAATCTGTTCAGAGCTGGCTCAGTTACTCCCAATCAGAGCTAATCCTGGGGCTTTTCCCTGAACTCCAAGAAGAGACATTTCCTTGTTCCTCGATCCTTGACTTGAACGTGAGATCATCCCGAGGCTGGAGGTTCTGCTGCCCTCACCTGACTATTGCAATGTATCAGACCGGACTCGTAGTCGCATACAGCAGAACCCTCTTGTTCACAGTACTCACTGCTCTTCCCCCTGTGGGATTTTAACACCATTTCCCCCGCCGTAGGCTTGACTGAGTGACTTGTTCGGCCGATTGAATGTGGGCAGAAGTGATGTGTATCGCTTCCAAGCAGAAGTGTGAAGAGCCAGCTTGGGATTCGCTACTTCAGTGTTGCCCTTTGCTATGGGAAAAACAACGCTCAGAGAGAGGTTGTCCTGAGTCTTAGAGAAAAGACCCCAGGTGATGGAACTGCCGCCAACCTACGCTGGCCATGGAATCAGAGTGAAAAGTAAACCTTGATCATTGTAAGCCATGAAGATTTGGGATTGTTTGTTACCAAAGCCTCACATCACCTAACTGGATTCAACACTTCTGCTAGTTTCACAAGAAAATGAGTTTATTAAAGGATAGTTGGTGGTGTACAGTATCTCCAAAAAGGCCTTGGAGACTCCAAAGCCAGGAATAATGTCTTAATCTCACCGCGGGGCTGCACCAGCCAAGACGCCCACTGAGTACAGAGGCAGCAACTCAAGCCAGTGATGGGGCGCCACGCCTCTAAAAACTGAACCCCTCTGTCACTAATGTTGTCACAAGATGGATTTCATAACCCCGTGGCTCCTCGTGCTGCCCTCTTAAGTGAAGTCTCTGGCGGAGCCTAAGTTACCCCCCTGTGCTCTTGTCTGGAGAGAGGCTGGAAAAGCGAACGTCTTGTTTCTCCTTTGAGGAGGTGGGAGTCAAATGCGGGGAATGGAGAAGGGAGTGAGTGACCACAAAGCATGAAGACATCTGCTGCCTGCCTGAAGCCTAAGAATGGAGCGAGGGGTTAGAGCTGAGAAGGAGAACGATTGGATGCCGTCCTGTAAGGCCTCCACCAAGCCATGCCTTACGTACGCCTGTTGACTCCTCAGTTATTGGAAGAAGGCATTCCCGGTTTTGCTTGGGCCAGCTGGGAGTGGGTTCGCTGACGCTCGCGACAGAAGGAGTCCTGATGATTCATGGAAAGTGGATGGGCATCAGCGCAGTGCCTGGCAGTGGGGTCCTGTCTCAGATGCTCGGAAGTTTTGGTTGCCTTCAGTTCCCAGTAAATGGGGAAAGAGCCCCTTCCAGCAGGGCAGGGTTTCGGTGTCATTGTGTCTTGGGAGCCAGCCAGTGGTTCTCAAACACAGCAGGGTACTTGCTCGCCCGGAGCCCAGTAGCCAGGACAGGTGGGGGTCGAGAGTGGGCAACACATCTGGGGTACCGTTGGTTGCTTACCCCCAATTCATTCTTCTTTTCCTCAGTAATAAAGATAAGAATAAACCCTTGTATAGTACTTGCTAGGTATTAGAGACCATTCTAAACTCTTTGCTCAGATTAACTCATTTAATCCACACAGAACCCTGTGAGAAAAGG